GGAGCTCTGAGCAGTCATACTGCTCTCTTACATAGAATGCAACCCCCCCAACCTTTTCTGCCCTGCCTGCCCTTCCTGAACAGTTTATATTCATCCATGGCAGTACTGCAGTCATGTGAGTGATCCCACCAAGTCTCTGTTATTCCAATCACATCATAGTTCCTTGACTGTGCCAGGACTTCCAGTTCTCCCTGCTTGTTTCCCAGGCTTCTTGCATTTGTGTATAGGCACTTAAGATAACTCGCTGATCGTCCCGCTTTCTCAGTATGAGACAGGAGTCCTCCCCTCTTGCGCTCTCCCTGTTCGTGCTTCCTTCCTGTATCCCATATCCCCTCCAACTGCACATGTCTTGTTGTCACCTATCACCCGACACTTGAGCCCATATGGGGTATCATCAAAAAATTAAAACTCATACTCAATGGGGATCATATCCTGAAATAAATCATTCCCGAATCACCTTTTCTGGCCTTCAAACTCCACAACCTCTCCAAGCTCATCATCTGAAGCATCTCCACAAACCTGGACACACCACTCAAAGTAGCACTTGACTCTGCCAGAACAACAGATGCAAAACTTGTAGACATATCTCCACTGCTACTATGACCAATACACCCCCCAACACACTTTTCAAGATTTATGAGTGCTACACATGCCTATCACAACATGATATACCTCATCTGATGCACTAAATGCCCCAATAACAACTATGTGGGTGAAATGAGACAATCACTAAGCTCTTGAATGAACTAATACAGAAAGATGATAAAAGACAAAAACACCCTATCATCTGTGGGGGAAAACTTTTCACAAAGCAATCACTCTACACCTGACCTCACAGTCCTCATCCTCAAAGAAAACCTGCCCAACACCTTGAAAAGATGAACCTGGAAGCTTAAATTCATAGCTTTGCTAGATACTAAAAATCATGAACTGAATGGAAGAACTGGATTTATGGCTTATTACAACAATCTGTACCCACTAATTGCCCTCCCCCACCACTTCACCCCCCCACCTTTTATCCCCTCTTATAGCTAGAGAGATGTTAACAGGCCACTTCATTGAGAATGTTCCATTGAAATATGTGTTAACTACTTATGCTAAATAATCTGTTCTACCTTGTATTTCGCTGGGTCACATCTACACTACAGAGTTAAATTGACTTAAGTTATGTTGATGATCGTGTCGTTTTAATAACCTTGGTTGTGCATGTCCACACAACACGCCTTGTGTCAGCAAAGGATGTTCACAGTTGTTGCTCTGGCATCAACAGAGAGAGCGCTGCATTGTGGAGAGAGCTTTCCCGTTGTGCAACCCGCCACTCTCTGTTGGGAGTTCTGGAACAGATTGCCATGCATCATGGGGACATGCTCACCGTCCTGTGATGCAGTTCTTTCTATCCATCATCCCATTGGCTTCCTTCTTCATTTCAGGCTGTTTTTCAATGGCCCTTATAAACTGTGTGCCTGCCATCTCTGCCTGACATCATGGATCCCGAGCTGTGTGCCAGTCTCGTGATGAGCATTATGAACACAATGTGGCTAGTCCTCCAGTATTTCATGAGCTGTGAAACAGAGAGTGAATCGGTGATGCCTGACCTGCTGTCTGCCATGGAAACAAATAATTCAAGATTACTGCTGGCATTCACAGAACAACTTGCCACAGTGGACCGTCAGTACTGGGCTTGGGAAACAAACACTGAGTGGTGTGGGATCACATCATGATGTGTGTATGGGATGACCAGTTCTGCAACAGACTGAACTTTGGGGGGAAAACCTACTTTATTAGATAGGAAAGGTAACTGTTCATAAGTGTACACCCAGATTTGCATTTTATTATTTGTTTTGTATTGTAACCCTTTGTTTCCACCACTCTTCCTTGTTTCTAGCTAAATCTTTTTATTCTTTCTTAAACCTACTTTTGTTTTATTATAAGTGCTCACAAGTGCTGTGTGGTTTTCAGGAACAGTGGTTTAAGGTAAAACTAGTAAACTGGGATATGCTGTTCCTTTGGGGGAAGAGGGATTTGGGATGTCTGTTAATAGCCAGAATCAGGGACTAGATATCACAAGGAAATGATTCAAAGGGATTCAGGGGTGGGGGTGTACCTACTGTTAATTTGCAAGGCAAATACAGGGCTAGCATAGCATAGCGGAAAGTGCTTGAGTGGCTGAAAGGCTAGTGTTAGGGACTCCGACACACTGGAGGAGGGGGTGACAAGGTGACTCATGGTCCTGAATGACCTGAGAACCATCACAATAATTATAAAAACATAGCTAAAGCCAAGGTTGGGGGAGGATTTACAATTTAAATTTGTTTCTGGATCTGCATAACAGTATATAGTTTTAAAGTTTAGTATAAATACATTACACTTGTATATTATATAAGATTAAAAATACAAGGCCAGATCCTCAGCTGGTATAAATTGGCACAGGTCCACTAAAGACAATGAAATTACACTATGTCCCACCTGAGGATCTGGCTCATCAGTGATACTTTATATGGAACAATGACCACTAGTGCTAGTTTGTAATATCAGGAGATTATTTTTGTAAACTTGTGTTGCTCTTGTGCCTTGCCAACAAATGGCCAGTGATTAGCATACACTTGGCCAATTAGCACAGTCTCATCTACTAGATGGACTTTCTGGGTCAAATTCTGCCCTCAGGTATATGTGTAGATCCCATTTAAGTCAACAGGAAATGCAGGCATCCCAAAGCAGAATCTAGCCCTCTAAATGTGCATGTGCTCCATCACTGTTTCTAAGACTTGTATTTTGACTTTTATGATCCAAAGAGTCTCAAAACCACTAAGAATTGTATCAGAGGGGTAGCTGTGTTAGTCTGAATCTGTAAAAAGCAACAGAGGGTCCTGTGGCACCTTTAAGACTAACAGAAATATTGGAGCATAAGCTTTCGTGGGTGAATGCCCACTTCATCAGACGCAAGTAATGGAAATTTCCAGAGGCAGGTATACCTGCCTTTGCAGATTTATACCTGCCTCTGGAAATTTCCATGACTAAGAATTGTAGTAAACTTTCTCATCTTGAAGTTATTCCCTGCATTTCTTAGACCACATAAAGCATTACAAAATACTGTTTTTCACAGTGTCCCCATCTTCCTTACCCCTAGAGCATTTGGTGTGCCTTATAAAATTAAAATATTCTAAACAAACAATAGCTCCCTACCTTTCACCATCTTCTTCAGACAGAGAAACAAACACTGTTCTTTTGCAAAATAGTTCAGTGATGATCTGTCTTCTTGTTGACTCTATAACAAATACTTGAGGACAGGGTAACTCTATTCACATGAGTACTGCCAGAGAAGTAAATATCCCATAAGTAAAGTAATGTGCAAGCTGAAGCATTTTCAGGACCTAGGCCCATATCTCCATTCCTTTGAACTGTTAACCTGGAGTTTGTATTTGTGTTGTACTGTAAGTTTCTTTGAACAGGACTCTGGTTATTTTACATGGTAGCAATGCACTGTATACAGTCTGCTTATGTCATTCCCTAAATAATATTATAAAATCATAAACCCTCAACAAACATTAATTGGAGCAGCAACATTAAAGAAGGGTGATTCACTGTACAGGAGCTGAAAGTGATTAATACAGAAATGTTTGTGCAACTGTTGTGTTTTAATCATTTTAAACAGAGAGAGAGAGAGACAAGAAAGTAGAAATATGACTGGAAGCAAATTCCAAGCACCAAGGGGTATCACAGCAGACGCTTAGTCTCACCTGCTAGCCTAAAGCATAATGGTGGCACTTGAAAAAGGAAACAGTGACAGTTAAGAAGGACAAATATATTTTCTAAAGGAACTGACAATATCTTTTATCTAAGTAGTAAGCACAGACATTGAAATCATCCTGCAATGATGGAAAGCCACTGGAGATGTGTAGATTACCCACCACTGTGTTTGAGCCATGGGATGTTGCTTAATGCTTGCTATTATGAATCATTTTAATTATCTACGTATTTTCAGATGAAAATCTTATTTTTAACTCCAACTCAAAACAATGGAGCTTTTTTACATTCTGTTTTAAGAACCCTGCTGTTGGAGCCATGTTGTGATAATGCAGCCTAGCTAAGACTACCAGATGTATCATAGCAGAATGCAGACACAGAATTAAAAACTCAGGCAAATAATATCTTCAGAACTGAAGTTAAAGGAAATTATGATTTGAGGGAGAAAGGGATTTTAAAAAAAGTCTACTACCTTAATCATTCTTCAGACAGTAGGTAATTGATAAAGTAAATGTTTCCATTATTTTTGCTGTGCATTGCAGCGTTTTCTGAATTAAATGCTGCCCAAATTTGCAAGCCAGACTTGTGAGCAAATCTCTAAACAGACCTTGCACAATATAACAGAGAAGCTGATAGCGTGGATCAGCATGCACAGTAGAAAATTTTGGGCTTGTTCCTACAAGGACAACTGTGTGGGTGTCCAATTGAAGTCAGTGGAATTCTGCCCAGGTCCATGAGTGCACTGTGCAAATCTAAATGCAGAATCTGGCCCTCAGTCAGCAGGTTTTCCATGGAAAAAAAATATTTTTCAGGCTTCAGGGGAAAAATTTTAAAACAAAAGAAACACCTCTATTCTGAGGCCTATCATGTGGCCTCTGAAATGCATCTTCTGCTCACTTCTTGACAATATTGTGGGCTCACAGTAGTGGGACAAAGCTAAGGTTGCATCAGACTTTTTCCAGAACTCCATTTTGTAAACATGCCAAGGGGAATTTTAACCATATTTCAGTCACTAATTAATGTGTGTATGAAGCGATCACCAATGTTGTATTTTGTGTTTGTATATTGTTGGTTTGGGGGAAATTTGGGAAAACAGAAACACTAGAGAAGCCTGATTTTTCCCCTCCCACATACACAGTGCATGTTTGCTGTCCTCATGACTGCCTGAGAGGTTGTGACATCAGAGGTAATCAACCAATCCTCACCTTCTTCTTCCAGTTTATTTGCATAGTTGGGGGAGTCACTAGTGGCATGGTTGTCATGGCAACAGCTGCCTTTGCTAACTGATTTTCCCCAGACAACCATGATACCATTACAAAGAAGGGTCCGAGGAGGAGCTGCAGTGAGAGCAGTCTGGGGTTGGATAAGTTCCTGCTTCACTCATTTGGGTTTGTATTGGGGTAAGTTACACTATTTATTTTCGAAGGGTGTTTATTACTTTTCTCAGAGAGGGTTACATGAATTCCTGCATAGTGTTTATAGGCATCTTAGAAAGGCTGTGGCTTTCTCGATATCTACCTTTTGTAAGAGGTGGGAAATTATAGATGTGAGTCTCTACTCTGTTCCACAATTAAAAATAAGTGTAATTTAGAAGTTGCAATAAAACTGCAGTTGCGTTAAATTGTATTTTGTTTGAATACAGTTTAATTTAAATGCCTTTCAAGATATTGGTGTAAAAGTGTGGCCACTCCTCTCTCGCGAGTGCCTTGTGCTGGCCGGGTGCATGCCTGCACTCTTCTGTTTTTTGCGGTACCCTCTGCAGACAGTTTGTCTTTTCAAATGGGTTTTCAGTGACTCAGCCCTCCAGCCGACTCACATGCAGTCTGTATGTGAAACAAAAGGAAAACAACCCCTACTGGGGTAACATGGTTCAACAAATGGTTGGCCCCTCCCCAAAGTCCTCAGTCCCATCTCTGGGCCTGTTTAAGCCTTCTTGGGCTCCAAATGAAATGTGTTGCTTCCTGGGCCCTTCGCCATTCTGCCTGTGGCTGATTGGAGGAACCCGGGCCCATCCACTACTCCGGGTCCCAACCCAGGGACCCTTCGACTAGCAGCCAGATGCTCCTTCCTTCGCTAGTGTCTATTGCTACATTCTTTGAGCTTTTTCCCCTCTCTATCCCACCAGCTTCTTGTGTCCTCAGGCTGTTGCCTGTTTAAGCAGGATCTCCTGCAGGCCTCCTTGCCTAGAGAGTCCATAACAGTCTCTGCCTTGTTCTCTCAGGGTTCTTTCTCACAGACCCCTTCACCTGGTGAATTTATACATAGGCGTGCGCAGCCCATTTCATTAGGGTGTGCACCCAGGGAGCCCCGCCCTAGCCCCACCCCACCCCTGCCCTAGTCCCGCCCCCATCCACTCCCTCTTATTCCCCCCCTCAGAACCTCCAATCCCCCCTGCTCCTTGTCCCCCCCTGACTATCCCCTCCTGGGACCCCTGCCCCTAACTGCCCCCCAGGACTCCACCCCCTACCTAAGCCTCCCTACTCCTTGTCCCCTGACTGCCCTCCTAGGACCCTACCCCCTACCTGTCCCCTGACTGCCCCGACCCTTATCCACACCCCC